TTGCACTGCAAATCGACTCGCCCCGCGGAAGCCCGGCCGAAACGGATAACTTTTTTCAGAAATGCAAAACGTCGGACTTCATGGTGTCCGACGTTTCGAATTTCTGAAAAAAGTTATTCGTTTCAGCCGGGCATTCCGTTTTTCGCGTCTTCGCCTTGATTTCAAGGCGATTCGTTTCAGTCTTCCGTTTCACCCCTGATTAGAATTGTCAAAATTTGCAAATTTTTCAGGAAAAAAATAAACGATAATAATACGCCAAATCCCACTTATTTCTAAGGTGAAAGCGCTTGAATTCTTATGAATATGGAATGGGGAAGCGAATTGCTATAAATTACCTCCCAACATGAAGAAAGTTTTTAAATTCAAAAAAATGAAAATTTAGAAGTCAAAATGTTGCACCTAATATTTTGTGCATGATACTGAATAATAAAAAAGGATGTTGAAAACTCTCAGTAGTTGACCAAGACCGCAGCAGTTGTGCCAGCCTGCGGGTAAATTTTCCACCAAGTACCTACCTACGGGTGCGTGCACTGGCATGGTGGTGCCAGTTTTGCGGTATGCGGGAAACCTGGCGGAACGGTTGAAATTGGTTTGGTGGCGGCCGAACCGGTGGAACTACTGGCGCTTCCTGGTCGCGCGGGTTTTGGCAGTAGTTGGGGCGGTGGAACAAGCTCAGGAATTCAGCGGATGGCGAAACAGGCAGAGCCGGTGGCTTTCAGGCTGTCTACGATCCGTAGACAGCCTAGATGCGTAGTCTTTTCGTGTTTCTAGTTCTAGCAAGACAGATTTAGATCTTCACCGTTAGCCTATAGAAAGTAGCCCTTTTATCCTTCTGTCATGTGCCTTTTCTTTCCTGAAGTTAGAGAAAACCGCAAAGAACTACGCTTGTAAGATGACCTTCTACCTTTGCTTTGGGTCGCTTTTGTTTCGGTTTCTTTAGTTTTTTCAGCTGCAAGAATCGACATAAGAATGCACGACTGGCCATCGATGTACGATTATCCTTTTCTTGTTTCGCATTTGAATGAACCGAGGGAATTTGTTTCGAGAGTAGCCTGATTCTAGTATAGTACCATTGGGGTTTTTCTTTGTTAGTCAGCATGTAGTAGTTGTTGCACAGGGAGAGACACCTAAGGAATTCGGGAACTTTTCTTTGAAACTGCAAGAGAGATTTGGAAAAAGCGAACACTTCACGGACAGCAAGTGCGCATTCAATTTTGGCCCGACCGGTTTGGCTCAAGTTTTACACTTGGCAACCGAGTCGGGAAGAACTCTCAATAAAACTGTAGCAGGTGAAGCTCCGAGTGAGTGTGTTAGGTTTTTGCTTGTTCGAACGAAGTAAGTCCTTCTTGTCTGCTTCGGTCTACGATTTCGCACTTCGTGTCGTCGATTTTGAAGAACAGAGCTTGATCGATTTTAACAAAGGACGCACCACAATGCAACTTATAACGTATGTGCTTTATTATTGAATCTTATGATATGTAGTTTTTGAAAAGTTTAAAATTTTTTCAGAATTCATGAATCTGGGAAATTGAGAAGAATCCACAAAGGTAATGGAAAACTGAATAATAATTCCGGAAATGAGTGGCATAATAACCATAATTCAGCTCAGTGATGTGCTCTGTGAGGACCTGTCAAGACATCGTAGCGCTGCTCCAACTTTTAGGTCTTTAGGTTTCTTAGATTTCTCAGGATGTACCTGTCAAACACAGACCCCCCTGGATCGGACCCAAGAGCTCCCACTCAATGGTCGCCGGAGATTGCCTCTACGCCTCCTCTGTTCTGCGATTTTAACCACTAGCCCGACCGGAAACCGCTCCTGAGACCCCGGGTTGGGCGGTGCGCACCTATGTTAAGTGCAATCCATATCCCCCCCGGCCGGCCGCGATCGCCTGCTGATATAGAGTACACAAGAGGGCAAACAGGGCCGCCGGTGATCGGGTTCACTGACGCCGGGCGCCTGGTTTCTCGCCCGCCCGAGCTGTTCGCGGCGGAACGCGGGCAATGACGAACTCACGACCATGGTGATGATCGGCGCCTTCTCTTCGTGTCTGGCGCGAAGATGCGCCGCACGCATTTCCCAAAGCCTGTAGCGCGGGTATGCCGGTCGGGGCGAAAAGCGCGGTCGGCGCGCGCTTGGGCATAATAGTGGCGGGGCGCGCCGCAGAAAACGCGAAAGGCCCGGGGCTTGGGGCGGTCCTTCTTTCTCGTTAGGCATCGGTCCGGTTCGCCCGCACCCCGGTCGTGCGGTGGGCCGCCCGCCCCCGCGGCGCGCCGAAGCCCCCTAGCAGCGCCGGGAGCGGTGCGCGGTACACAGCAACGATTTTCCTGGGCGTTATGGCCAGCCGCTACATGCGATTGCGACGCGGTTAAACAATAGCGGGGGGGGGCGCGGCCGCCGTGCTCGGCACGCGGAGGCGTCCTTTCGTGATCGTGCTGCAACCCGGGGGGGCGTCCTTCTCCGGGGGCCGGCGCAGACGGTGATTTTACTCACGTTGGAAATAAGGGGTCGTGCCGCGCTAGAAAGGCTACGGTCCGCCGGCGCCCCGGTCGAAGAGCTTCCCTGCGGACCCCACGAGTGGCTCTACAAGTTGGTTGCCTTCTTACTAGATTGAAGTCGTCTACTGGGCCTCCATACTGATCGCCACCCGCGTTTTTTTTCTTTCGCTTTTTAAAAGATCACAAAACGATCCGACGCACACCGTGAAATGATCCAATTTTCTTTTGTTGATCTTTTTTGACCACTTTGATCTGTACTTTGATCATATTGCACGTGACGCGGCGAGGACGCTTTTGTTTGAAATCAGAAGCTTTTTTTAGTTGCTCGCTCCGGAGCGCTGCATCATTGGTTTATCGTAAGCTACTGACTTTGAGCTTGACTCCGTTAACAAACGGCCCTCTTCAAGACACCATGAATCGCGTCTCGCGTCACCTGACGCGGCAGCCATTCCGGTCCCCAGTACTGCACGACACGCTCGGACTTGGGAGGAGGAGGTTTTGCGCGCTCGCGCAGAGGCCCGCAGCTGTGAAGAATGAGTTACCTCCAAACACCATACGGCAACCCGACGGGAATATCAAAACGCTCCTGTACTAACTTGCAACTTTGTTTTTAAGTAACTGCTGTCGTTTGCGCGAGACCTTGGCATAAGAATTGTGAATCATGTCCACAAATTTTTCGTAAGTTGTCAGTGGCGTTACCCATGGTGGAAAGCAACAGGTACGATGGAGAGGAAGAGATTTTGACGCCCGCACAGCATGAGGAAAAGCAGCGGCTTATCAAGGAGCTTACCCGGAGACTCAGCGGCCCCCTGGCCGACGAGAACGGCAATGTCCCCACGGGCAAGGACCGACCCATTGCTATCGAAGTAGACGGGCCATCGCATTTCTACGCCAACTCCCAGCGCTACACAGCGTACTCTGATGAATGCAGTCGAAATACAAATCTTCATTCCTTGTTTAGCTCCCCCGCATTTTAGCCGATAATCAAATTAATCTCGCCAGTACGTTGGTAGTACTTTCCAGGCGGGGCGCGAAGTGCAGTTTCTAGTACTTATCCTCGGTCTTTACAGGTACAGCAAGTTGAAGCACCGACTGCTGACCCGGATGGGTTACAAGGTTCTGCACGTGCCGTATTTTGACTGGCGGCGACTGCGCGGCGCCAAGGAGCGGGAAGACTACATGCGGGCGAAACTTCGCGAGGAACCCACCGAGTGGTTGGATCCGGAAGACGCCAGGTATTACGAGGGTATGTCATCTGCATCACCATCGGAATCAGCGAGACTACCGGACGAGGAAGCGAAACGGTGTGCAACCGCCACCGCAAACCAGTCGTCGATGGGTGGCGCGACCACACCGGTAGCTGCACCAACAGTAGCAGCTACTATGTGACGACAACGGAAGGATCGTCCGACAAACCTTGTGGGCCTTCACCTCTGCCCTCGTGATGACCATCGGACAGCTTACATCTAATGAAAAACACACAACTTATCTACACGGCCATGATGAACAAAACACCCAGCGTCCACGGACTGAAGTGATGTTTTAAGTATTTCCACGGTGCGTCGCGGAGGCCACTCAGCGACAGAGGCTGCAGGCTTGACGCTCGGCTTTGGGATTTGGTTTTCTCCGGGAGGTGCAAGTAACGTGTGCCCCAACTTTTGTTTGCTAACCTCTCATCCGTCGTCAGGCTCAATCTCTATTCTTTTTCTTCGCATGGTCGCGCTTTTGCGCCAAGGGTCAATGATCCATCAAGAATCGTAGTAATGCGGTCGGTCAAGAAAGACGATGAGTTTTTGTTTTGTGGTGGATTGGATCTTTTTTGAAGATCTTGCGGCTCGTGGCTGCCTGTTGAGGTGCTTTTGAATATCACCTACTTCGTTTTGCTGAAATTATTTGAATGAATACGAGCGAGCCCTCAACGACCGTCGGCGTCACGCTACTATAATCAATCGGTTGGACTTACTTGTTGCGTTTCTGTGACGCAGTATTGAAAAAGGTACGACTTCCGATGACTGCTGTTTTACAATCGCATCCGGTTGCGGCGTACGCGGCAGCGCGTTGGGAGTCCGCCTCTTCGAATAGCCGCGCCAAGCGGGAAGGCGGGGTGTCGACCTCTTCATCTGTGTCCGTCGCGTGTGGTGCATCGGAGAGACATGCAACGCACGAGCGGAGATTCGCGGCAAGTCATGAAGCTGCTCTCTCCACGTCACTGAAAGACGGTGAACGGAGAACGATTCCGCGCCGTGACTGCAGTATGCACGCAGAGGACTCCGCGGAATCTTGGCCGAGCCAAAGAAGAAACAGGATACGACCTGCTTCAGCTAATTTCGCGAATAGCTACCAACTTCTGCGTCATCGAGCAAAGAGTTCTGAAGAAACGCAAGTACGAAAACGAACGTCCAGACCACGATTCCCAGCAATCATGACACCACATTGTAGTCAAGATCTGCACTGCAGAAAAACAACGCCGGACTGCGACGCCAGAAAAATGTGGCCTTGGCTTCGACAGTGCACGGCCTTGAGAAGGAATCACGCAAAATCCGAGCGTCGCAACCTCTTTGCTTTTCAGCAAAGTGATGCCACGCCGGCAGTGTCAAAGCGTCTAGAAGATGGTGCCAAATTTATCTGGTCTCGATGTCGTGTGCCGCAAGTGTGGAGAAACACTTCGAAGAGGAACGGTGTAAAGAAAGCCACAAGAACCCCCGCCAGGGATACGAATTGCATCAGCCTGACAAAGTTTTTTTCCGGGTATCTGACCGTCGTGCTCCTCATCTTCCAGCACTTCCTGTCCTTCCGCGTGCACGGTTTCGGGTGCTTCTCCGACTACAGCATGAGCTGGTGCAACAACCACACGGAGGCATCGTGCATCCACGATTACACCTTCTCCGTCTCACACTTCCAGCGCAAACTCGACGCCTACTACGACGAGGGCAAGCGTCCACCGCTACTGGAAGCCTACTTCATGACCAAAACCCCGCGGATCTACCAAAAGGAAGTGGTATAGTACTTTTGTTTTGAGTGCTTGTCGCAATGTGTCGCATGATGATATCGCTCCTATTCCGAGATTATAGGCGCTCCATTTTTGATCTTTGTCTTTCCCTTACTGAATCTTTTTCAGTTCCTCGATTCCGACTGCGCGCCGCCGTTGATCATGGCTTTTCTCCTTGTGGCGGAAGCTCGGCTGGACTTTGACCCGAACGCGATGGCGTACTTTGAATTCGGTTTGCAGCAGTTGGATTCCGTCTCCGCGGACCAAAAGTACCTGCTGGAGAACACCGACACCTGGCCGCTGAAAAAGGCGATTAGTCAAATCACGCACAATATCCTCTGCAAAAGTATCGTACCTACGTAGTAATTGCAGCCGTGCATGACAAATCCAATTTTCTACCCGAACACGCATTAATTTCTCTTCGTGAGAAAGTTATTTGTAATGCACTTTCTACTAGTACACGTTAGTTTTGCAATGCATACACCAAGAGCAGTACATTCTCCAGTTGCGCGAGCAACGGGAGGGCCAACTGATTGTCGTGGATTTTGTGATGTGCCACTGCAAGGAGCCGGACCTGACGTGGATCAATGCGAAGCTGCGACCCGCACTGAAGGACGTGACGGCGCGGCTCTTTGTGTACGAGAAGTGCCACCAGGTCACCGCGGTAGAACCGTTCCAGGACTTGTTTCAGGAAATCTACATCATCGCGACCCCGGATCCCAGCTTCGTCGCGCGGGGCGACGAGTGCTCCGCCTATCTGAGCCATATCACCTACCGGTATAGAAGAAGTAGCTTCAGCTGGAACAGTTACTTGCACAAAATTTGAAGTTCGTTGTTTATCACTTTTGATGTAGTGCATGGTCTTGCATGCTATGCTGTGTGTTACTCTTGCTACTCCTGACGTCGACATCACTTCCCGAATAAGTAAGCGTTGTCGTCCAGGTACCACGAGCTGGCCGACTTCACAGTGTTTATCCACAGCGACCCCGGGGACCACCTCCACTTCCCCTTTCTCTCCGTCGTGCTGAAGAGCATTGGGTATCGGACCTTCAATCAGGACTTCATGCACCTCAACGGTCCGCGCCACGTGCGCACCATGACGCCCTGCATCCAGGCCATTGCCGAGCGCATCTTCGGGCACAAGCTGGAGGGCACGGTCGGCCCCTACTGCTGCGCGCAGTTCATCGTGTCGCGGGACAAGATCCACTCCCGGGACCGGGAATTTTACGCGAACATGCTGACGATGGTCAACGGCACGCTGCCGTACGACCTGTGCACGACGTCCCGAGTGGCCCGGAGCACGCACTGCTACGGCATGGAGTTCCTTATGACTCGCTCAAACGTTACAATCTCAAACGTTACAGTAGAATATGGAAATCTGTAATGCGAGAGTGCATGATCTAGCCTACTCCCACAGGATTGCGCATGACAAGTTCTCGAGTCCCAAACCGCACTAGAATCTGCAGAAATTTGTATTGCAGAAAGTGGAACGCTCTGCGAGTCTGTCATGCGCGTCATGCAATTCAAAGTCCAGATTCTATTGCAACGTTTGAGATTGTAACACCTGAGCGGGTTATATTCCTGTGGCACGTCGTCTGGGGCGAGAACGGCGACCCGCCCCTGCGCCTATCAAATGTAAAAATGTCTGGGTCTGGAAGGATGCGAACTTGTGATGCTGCAGCTGGATTCTACAAAAATCTGCAGTGCATGAACAGCAAAAGAGGTCCACTCTTTTCCATTGCGAGAGGGCATTTCTCATGCGGTATAGGCATCAGAAAGCCCTCACAAAATCTGTGATGCCAGGGCATGCATTACAGACATCAGGACTCATGCAAAATGTGCACGACAAACCTTGCATCCTTCCAGACCCAGACACTTTTCCATTTCATAGCGCCAGGACGACACCAACTTGCCCACCGCGTTCCGCTTGAAATACGGCGTGGAACACGAAAAGAACGAGTGGAACGACGTCGTGCTATCTCCAAACGTATTATTTTTGCGAAAATTTTTTGATTTGCTTTTACTTGTTCCAGTGTCCCTCATACTCGATGCTCGTATAAGTATTTCGAGAAATATTATGTCACTTTAAAGCTTAACCTTCTGTCTCCAAAATCATCAGGTTCCGAAAAAGATTGTGACCAAGCAGGAGTGGGACGGTGAAAAGTTTGTGTATCTCGCCGGGGGACCGGGGTCAGAGGAGCGGGGTGATCTGGACCCACGGCCGGAGTGGACGGAAACCTACATGATAAAAGATAAAGAGGACAAGGAGGGTATTACAGTGAAAAGTGCCCCCCACCCCCAAAGTTGCAAAAGTTTGTGATGCGAGGTTTCCAAATGAAAACTTTTTGTCATGCATGAAAGGAATATGAATCTTTCTGATGCAGATTCTGGTGGTGTTTCGCATCGCTTGCATGACAAGCACCGCTCTTGCTGGGATCTTTTGCAATACAAATTTTTGCTATTAACGATCGGAAATCTGTGATGCTGATACATGCAAGAGGGCGAATGTTTGATTTGGAAAGGTTTGCAATGCAAATGCTTTAAAGTTCGGGGATGGGGGCATTTTTCATTGCAATAGAGGGAGAAGAGAAAGAGAACGCGGACGAGGAAGGCGCCGGGGAAGAGCCGGAGAAACACGGCCGGATGGAAGCAGCGGCGTGACTTTGTTGAAGACGACACTGCTGTATAACTGCTTCCTGCGCGTTATTTCGCAGGGGGAAGTAAGTTTGATAGAGAGCTCATCTTTGTTGCCCTTGTTCTGTAAGTAACTAACCCAAACTGGCTGCGCGGATACACCACACGCACGGTTGTATCATACAATTTCACAATTAGCGATGCGTTCGAATGAATATGCCAAATACTGGATGGAAGATGTACGTTTTCGCGAGAATACAGCACCATTGAAAAAATCGTGGCAGAAAGATGACCCCGGCGGGACGCGTTCCTGTTTGCGGGGACAAAAGTATTGATTGTATTATCCCGCGTGCCAGCCGTTCCCAGAAAAAGAAGCAGGTCGTGTTTCTAGCTCGAGCGGAAAATAACGGTACGAGTCGCGAGGGTGGCGTTGAGCGAAAAGTTCACAGCGGGGCCCGCGTTTCGTGCAGAGAACCTACATACAGTGACTCTTCCTCTTGGGAAGGAAGCAGAATTTTGCGAGTGGCCCGTCGCCTTTTTGCGGCGTCGCAGTTGAAGGATCACCAACATGGCGCTTCCTTGTTGACGAGGTTCGAAGTTGCATCTTCCGCTGCGGAGGATGATGCTTTCGTCGCGAGTGTCGTTGCTAGTTGCTCTTGCAACATGCTGCAACTTCAGCTGCTCGCACGCAGTACATACTTCCCGACGCGGTCGGCGGGCAACAGTGGCATTGACACCGACGAGCGGAGAAGGGCAACTCCAGGAGCCACTTAGAAGCGTGGTCGTTGCGGAGGTGGGCAAAAAACCGGCACAGCTTGCCGCGGAAAAAAGTTCAGAAACGGAAACACAAAACGGATCCGGGGTCCTTTCCTGGTTTTCTTCCGGCGCGCGGCGGCCCTGGCTGCTGCGATTTTTCTACGACCCAATCAAAATTTCGCACACTCCGGCCGGAATCAAAACCATGCCCATGAGTACTCCTGTACTCGCGATGTCGGTGGTTACAGCGCTGTTCATCGTGTTTGTCATGTTCTACAACAAAATGTACGTTATGTAACGAAAACGATAAAGCTTCTACTTCTTTTTTCCCTGGTTTTAATACACGTACTTTGTTTAGCAACTGCAAAAATCCAAGTCAGACACGAAAACTGGACCGCACACCGGGCCGCCAGCGAGCGCGAGGTGAATTACGAAAGGATCGTTGGTACTGGTGTTCATTGCCCCAACTCTCTCTGCGCAAGAGCGACAGTCCTCTTGATGAGCTCCTAGTTGTAACGGCTGCTGCTCCAAGAGTTTGAACATAATCTGAGAGCGAATAGCACCGCAGAAGTAAAAGAGCACCAGATAATCAATTGCGTTCCCAGGAGTCATGCTCTCCCCGCAACGCAAACTGCGCTCGGGGCTCTACTTCCGAGCTCCGGTGGCGTTGAATATGCCCGATCCGCCCGGTCGGTCGCTTCTCAAGGCTGCACACGATAACACGACTGCCGAGTTTGACCGGACCAGCAGCAAAGGATCCGACGAAGCACCGCCCATAGGAGCCAGTGGGAAGGCGGGTGACACTACTGAGGTATAGATTTTTATCAACGCTCAACAAGAGCATCATGAGGTGGTTTCTGATTGTGCTGTGTTGTAATCTTCAAGTTTAGATCCCGAGCGACTGCCTGTACATAGGTACTAGATGGAGACCTCCTCCCGCGCAAACCTGGCCTACTTCAGCTGTTCGTGAAGAGCGGCGGGGTTTTTTGTGCCACGCTAGTTTCCGAGCTGCGTGCCATTGCCGACGGTGCGCACTCGCGTGCGGAGGAGGACTTGATTAAGGCACTGCAGGAGATTGTGGCGGTGGGCTTGTTGCACGACGCGCAAGACGACCTTTCTGCCGAAGAGGAAGCACCCCCCGCAGAAGATCATTCCCCCGCACCCACTTTATCTGGTCCTCACGCTCTCCAATCCGCACGGCACGCCGTGCGCGACGCGTTGGTCACGCGTGTAACCGCCCGGCACGCGACTCGGGGTCTGTCACTCCGCCGGGAGAAGCCTCTGGCGCGGTTGGTAAAGCCCTCACTGGCAATGCCGGAAGAAGAGGACGAGATCGGGTTTAATACGCCGAATTTACTACAGTTGGACTTCGCCAGGGTGTTGCAGCGGTTTGTAACTGACATCCAAACGCAGTTGAAGAACATGTCGGAGTTGTGGTTTGACGTGGATAAAATCTTGTCCTATTCGTCAAATGGAAGCTCTGTTGATGCTGATGATGCTGCAATGTTGGGTGTAAACGAGGACTCCGATGTAGTAGAACTCTTGTCCTCCGGTGCGCTCGACGACGGGGACAAGGATGCAACAGCAGCCGGCGCAGATTGTTCCCTGACAAATCGCGGCCCGTCCTGGCTACCACCTAGTACCCCGTCTGCAGACTTTTGGACGCTCGTGGTAGCAGTAGCGCAAACACTCTTTCGCGAGGCCGCGGCGGAGCGCTTAGCGAGCTTGTACTTGAAGCTTTTGCTGTTGAACCGCGGCAGTGCCTACGATCCCAGCACGCAAGGAGCGTACCACGACAAGATTCACCACGATATTCACGCGTTTGGCTCGTGTTTTGCGGACTGTGAGAACGCGGTGAATGCGCTCTACGACATGCACGAGATTGTCGGGTATAGTTTGGAACTGAGTACGCTTTCCGCGATTGTATTGTCCTCTTGCAGGACCAAGAAGTGCAGCTTTGTCTGTGCAATTGACGGTGGCAAGACAAGCCTAATAGCCGAAAAATCATGTACAATCATAAATCGCAAATACATAAAAACATCAGATGCGAGTACGTGATGGTGCCCATGGTTTGCGTCCGGCTGCTGACGCGGTACGCTGGATTAACCTTGCGCGACGTCGAGCAAGTACTCCGGTTCCACCCGTTGCGCGATAAGACTTTCGTCCGCGATCTGAAGCAGCTCATGCTCCAAACCGACGAGAAGCGGAAGCTGCATACGACAACCTCCGGTGATGGGAGTATCGGAGCGGAGGATGGAAGGGAGACGCACATTTGGCGGGGCGGAGTTTTCGACTGGGTTCACACGCCTTTCTGGTGGAACAGAAATATCGCGAACAAGAAGGCAGGAGCGGGGTAGTAGAGATCAGAAGGCAAGAAAAATTGAATTTCACCATCTTCTTCGCTTCCGTGTATGATTGCAAGGTTTTTTCGGCACTAGAAAGCCTGCCTGCTGCGGCGTGTGCCCAGTAGCTGATATTTCGATAGTCCCTTTTTTGCATTTTGTTGGAGATTTTGCCAGTTTCTGTATGATTTACACGACCACAAAGGTAATGTATCCTGAAACTTTTGGAACAGCTCAATTTTTTTTGGCATGGTGAAGAGCCTTGAAATTGATAATCATAAAGCAACTTTCATATGACGGGCCAATGTCACCTGGACGAGGTAATTTCTCATGCCTTTTCTCACCGCTTGTTCCATTCCGCGTAGTTGAAAAAACGTCGGTCGGCATCGTTCTCTCATACCAAAAAAGTCGATCGTGATTGAAAAGTTTTCCTTCGGTTTTTCGTCCTTTTAGCCAGATGGTGCTGTTGCGTGCTTCGGTTTTCGTTCATCAATTGCCAGAATTCTCTTTAGTCGTTAATTCCAACGTCCATCGGTCCGGATACACATGATTTCGTGCACAAACCACTTGATGGCTAGGAATATGAATGGAAGGACAAGAAGCACTAGAAATTGTGGTCGGTACAGCTCGCCGTCGCCGTTCGAATGTTCTCCAGAACCCGTCTTCCTTCGATTTCTGCAGACCCCAAACTTTTATTTACCCTTCGTCGCCACGACGACCCCATTTTTTTCTCTCTCAATTTTACGCCCGTGCGACTAGCACCTCCTGCGCGGCATCGTTAATATTTTTTTCAAAAACAAAAGTCTTGTGGCTTCAACCTTGTATTTAATTAGTCTCAACTCTTCTAGTGCCAAGAAAAAAAAAACATGTCGTCGGTCACCCTCACCTGTCCGAACGAGAAGAAGGACCTCGGCGGCATTGTGATTAACGAGGGCAAGGTCGTGCTGGTAAATCCAAACTCTTGGGCGGCGAGCCTTCCCGCGAGCCAGCTCGACATCGGGGATGTGCTCGTCGATGTGAACGGCACGCCCTTGACCACCGTCACAGACTTGGCCAAGCGAAAGCAACTGCTCAGCGGCGCCAATTTAAAGCTCAAGCTGGACCGACCCCAGCAGCGGGTACGTTTTTTTTTCCGTTGAGACCTGGCTTATCGGATCACAAAATAAGTTGGCTGTTACTTGTGTTTTTGGCTAGATTTTTGGCGCGACATTAAATTAATTTCTGGAAGCACTTGTTTGTATCGCATAAAATCATCACTTCAGTGCCAAACGATTGTGGGGCAGTTGCAGGACAAGACTCCGGGGTGCCGCATGAAGGGCCGCCAAGTGTCGTGGATAGGTGCGTCCGGTTTCGCCGTGGAAATTGGCGTACAGGTGAACGACGAGCTGATTGCCATCGACGGCAAAGGTTACTCCGAGCTGACCCCGGATGAGAAGATGAACGCGTTGACGAAGATCCGGCCGTTGCAAATGCTCTATCAGCGTCCGGGCGCGTCTGAGCCGACTGTTCCACGTGCAAAAAGCGTCGGCCTGGCCGGACAGAAGCCAGCTGCTGGAGGGGCCGGCGCGGCCGACGGCGCTGCTGCCGGCTCGTCGTCGGGATCAGCAGTTGCCTCCCCTGGCGGCGGCGGTCTCTTCGCGGCTTGCTGCAGCTCCTGCGCTGCAAAAAGGGGCGCACCAGACGAGATCATCATTGTATGAGACAGGGGGTGGATGTTTTTGCTTCTCCGATTTTTTTCCTAGAGAATACAAGCCATGCTATTGCTAGCCCTCGCAAGTTTCAGAAGCATACGCGCCTCTTTCGACGGGGCAACCGATGGTGGATTTTTTGCATCTAGTGTCCGCCGTACTCTGACTCACGTTTGCTCGAAATAAGTGCTTAAATAGCTAAAAGTAGTTGGAACTGGAAGGAAGGAGTTGTGGGTCCTTCGCGAATTAGGGAAGTGGTTTAGTAGATGTACGCATTCACATGGTAGGAAGAAGTCTTTTTTGTGTTTCATGATTTTCCCATTCCAAAGTAAACTCAGGTAGTGCTCATTTATTTTCCTTCTGGTCCCCCAGAGAGAATTACCCCAAGGACGCATCGCAAGAGCCGCTACTTGTGTGTCTCGGCGTAAGTACAACTTTCACCGTTTCTGGATCGCTGGAGTTTTCAACCGAACTTTTTCTGAATCTACCGCTAGAAATTCGGCGTACGAGCGCAAGCAGAGCGCACGATTCGTTTCTCTTGGCTGACGACGTGTGTTCATCAGTACTCTGTCTATGAACCAATCGGCTTTATTTCTGCGACGACAAGTTCACATACACTGATTCCAGGCTCTCTTAGTCTTCGCAGTTGCTTCTACCATGAAGGTCGTTTTTCGGTTTCTGTCGTTTGCGAAAGTTGCCCACGTGGCGAGCGTTTTTGTCAACAAAACAACTTCATCGGCGGGCTTCGGATGGCTGCGGGGCAACGGCGATGTGACGGAATCTTCCCTACTGTGTGCAGAGCAGTCGCCGGCATCATGCACCTCCTACACCAGTGGCCTTGACACAGGTGAAAAAACGCCGCAAAGCCTTCAAGTTGCTGCTCCTTCCAGAGTCGCGTTGCTGCTGATCGACGTTCAAGAGGACTTCTGGTCCGCGAACCCCAACATACAGGCTGCATTCCCGAACTTCCCCGGCAAAATTGAAGAGCTGCTACGGCGCGCGAGGGAGGGAGGGACTTTGAGGCCCGGAGTGGGTGACGGTGCGGGTGCGCTTCCGATGAAAGAGGACCAAGTAGGTGAAGCCAAAACCGGAGTCGATCTAATCGTTCACGTGCGCGCGGTTTACGGACCGGAGAAAGGCTCGCGCTGGACGGAATTCTTTTCAGAACTGAATCCGGAGAAAATTGCAGCAGGAGTGAGGAACACGCCAGAGCCTTTCGCACTCAGTCGGGCAGAAATAGAGAAGACAGGTCAAAATCTCCATGTCGAATTTAAGAAGAAGGTTTGGGGCTGCATTCAGGAGGAACATTTGGAGGGCGCGGATCTTCGAGTAAGCGTTGACCCAGTTATCGTCCCTGCGAGCAGCGGCAACGAAAACGATGAGCCGTACATGTCCGAGCGTAATGCTTCTACTAGTACATTCGGGGCAGAGAGCCGCGGTTCATCCGCTTGTCCCACTTCGACCGGCCCGAAAGAAGTTGTCCTGGAGAAGCCGAACTTTGACGCGTTTCTGGACACGGGGCTCGACGGAATGTTGCGCACGCACAAAATTGAGAAAGTTTTCATTGCGGGTATGGTTACGTCGGCCTGCGTGCAGGCTAGTGCTCTGGGCGCGTTCATGCGCGGGTACAAAGTGTCGCTCCTCGAAGATTGCCTAGCGGACAGGAGCACGGAGCGGCACGAGGCAATTTTGAACGTGTACAAGGATTACGTGTACCGTGTCACGTCGCTTGACGACACCTTCGCGGTACCGACAAAAAAACAGCCTGAAATTTTGATGGGCGCATAGTTATTTCATATGCCAAGCACAAAAAATGAAAGTTTTGACCTTCTGCGAAAACACGCTGCGACTCTCGCAGCCTGGCTGACTAACTACCAGCTCGTTGTGTAATGGCAGCTTCAAGAAGAGCGGGGTTTACATGTTTGTATAACAAACGAGTTCCGATCTTCCTCTTCGGAATACATGCACTTCTGTCCGCGACTGCTGACAGCGCGCAGCGGTGTGCGCCGAGGGTGTACTAGTTGTCATCGTGTATGGATCAGTCAGAAGTTCTGTAAAGATATCGTGCCGCAAGGCTGGTTACCAGAGGAGAAGGGACTACACACCGTTGCTGAATTGAGCGGTCCGGTTTGGGTAATTGAGCAACGTGGAGCTCCTGCAAGTAGCCGTAGATTTCAGAACTACTTAAAAAATTTTCGCATTGGACGAAATCAAACTCAAAATGCAATTTGATGGCGATGAGGACGACGAGCTGCTGGGCGAGGACCCGGCGGCGCTGCAGCTGTGCGAGGAGCTGGGGATCGACGTAGAATACGAGAAACCGCTTGTGTGGGTGGTGAAGATCGGTATCAAAAGGAAAAATCCCCCCAATCCATATCGAAAACGTGATTTATGATGCTGTACTTGAGTACACAGATCGGCTTGTATTGCTAGAAGGCCAAGAGCCGCAGTTGTCGCCCCGCTTGCAGGCAATTTGTCATGCTGTTTCCCGCTTCCAGCTGCCTCCTGTCATGCTGAAGATGCAAGGCTTTCCCACGCCAGCCAGCACTACAGTCCGCATCTCTTCCCTTTTGGCATGACAGAGCTGACCATAAATCTGCATCACAGACTTCCGCTCTGATATGGGGAGGGGGGATTTTTCTGCTTGATAATCGGCTTGCAGTCACCCCTACCCCCCCGGTGGTCGGAGCACCTGACGGATGATCTGGAGAAGTACTTCGTCGATGGTGACACGCAGCAGAGCCAGTGGGAAAGTCCCTTACTCCCCTACATTCGCCAGGTCGTGGACATCGGGCGGCTCTACATGGAGAATCCCTACCAGCACGTGATCAACGAGCAGATGACGCTGCTTTGGCAGCAGTTCCGGGACTCGTTAGGGGAGTGGCACGGACCCTACGTGGCGGAGGGGCGGCAGTACTTTGTGAATCAGGTGCTGTTCTTTTGTTTTCGGACTAGAATGTACCAGAGTAAGTTTGAATTCCGTTTGTTCCGTACATAGAGGACGACACCGCAAGAACAATTTGAGTGCAATCGCTCCAGTGCTCGCATTTTCGCAACAAATAAACTCCAAAAACCCGCAGGCTCTGGGCGTTTCTTCCTGGGAGGATCCGCGCGTGGAGGCACAATATCTGTGCGAGTTGCAGAGCGCGCTGATCCAGAAGTTGCAGACCGCCATACCGCCGCAGGCCAACTCTCCCACCGCGCACGCGCAGGCGGAGAGCGGCGGGCAAGAGGAGTCGCGGCCGCCCACCCCCGATTTCGCCGCGTGGAACGTCCAGGCGTCCCCCCGCTACGAGGAGGAGACGGGCGCGAGTCGGTCGCCGCGAGACCAGCAGCAGAGCCCCGACCACAGTATCCTGTGCAAAAGTATCGTACTCGTATTGCAGTCATGCATTACAAATTTTTTTATCAATGTAAATCAGCATAACAAATTTTATCTCTCATGCTGAGGGAATTTGTCATGCGTTTATACGAGTACGATACTCGTGCAGTTCATACACAGCGGGTTGGCACAATTACGGGCGCAGCTAGCGAACAAGCTGAGCGGCGTGGATTTTCGCGGGGAGGCGGAAAAGGAGCGGGTGAAAATGGTCAAAACGTTCACGGACGGCATCCATCTGATGTACGATCTATTGGAAGAGGAGCGTGAGACGCAGCTCTTGCAGATGGAACGCCGGAAGCAGCAACAGCTGGCGGTGAAAACCAGTGCCCGGCCGCCGGACAGCCCGCAAGGAAATAAAGGCCCGCTGCTCACCATGCAGCTGGAAACGGGAGATAGGTCACCGCCCTCGCCGAGCGAGCGCAACAAACCAAAGCATAAGAAGAAGGCGTGAATAAATCTTCTCGCTGAAGAAAAGTTGTCAAAATGGAAGCGGAAATGGGCCTTATGTGTTCGAACTTCTGGGGTTAGCTTCCTTTTTGTCCCTTACTCGCTCTCCCGCAAAAGTAGGACGCAAAGGTGCGCGCCAGCAAAATTACGAGCATGTCGCATATTGATTCACACACTGCGCATTCTATTGCCGTGCGCCCGAATGGGGAGCGATCAGACCCGGGGGCAGCAGGAGGGAAATCGATGGGGAGGGCGCCGCTCGGCTTCAGACTGCTGATTGGAGCGTGAGTAAGCGAAAGGGGCGAGAGAGTGTTGATCAGAGAGACTTCCCAATACTCCATTCAGATTCATCGTGTCCACTGCACAGGAATTCTTTTCTATTCTAGAGGCGAAGCCATTGTACTGCGTCTACTTTTTGGCTCGGCTAAGCCGAAGAACACGCAAACATGAGACACTTCCTATCGTTTGCCTTGGGTACCACCTGTGCAGCGGCCAGTTCAGCCGAAATTGTCACGGCAGGTACAACTTAAAAGGTTGTTGCAAAGCTGCAGAATCTTGTGATTATGTATGATGCAGATCCACCACTTAGATGCCTACTTGCTATCATTTTCAAAAAACAGACGCCGCGGACTTGCTGGAAGAGAAATTGGCCCGGCAGTCCCTGCTGGAACCAAGACAGGCGGAACTCGAGCAGGCATCTTCGTCGCTACTGCAAATGCAAACCACCGCGGTATCCTGTGTAAAAACGTCCCCACCCCAGAGTTGTCATGCAGATTTGCCACGACAGGAACATTTGTGATGCGCAACCCCATGAGAGGCATTTTCAATCGTGTTTGGGAACTTGTAATGCTATAAACAGGATCAGCAGGTCGATTTGTGATGCGGCTTTCCTTGCTAACTTGCACTACCTTACGGACTGAAACTTGTCATGTGTGACTCCCAAAACTCCTAGGTTTGTGTTGCAAAATCCCCATCCTGACTCTGGTATGGGTACACTTTTACTCAGGATACGCGGATGCGGTATCTTGAGCTGTTTGGCGACACTACTAAACCCTCAGAGGCGTAGTTCTTTAGTGGAAAAGGTTGTTATGTCAAAGTCAATTATGGCGCGAAAGCGAAACGAAAAGTACTATGGCGATGTTGAAACTCGAATCGTCAGTACAAAACCCAATACAGGAGCAAAGCCCACAGACGGGCGGGCAGCTGGACCAAATGATTGACCAGTTCGCAGACACCTACGCGTCGCAGTTTATGGCGGAGTGGCGACGCGGTTGCCTCAGTGCCGATGGATTGGACGCTACCAACTGCATGGCCGATCTGGACGCTATCACCGCCTTCATGCTGCAGAAGATTGCGGAGGTCCCACCGGCCGGAGTCACTGTGAATGCAGCTGTGAGCAGGTAAACGTCTGGTGGCTGGAACGTTTCCAAATGGAAAGCAGCGTGGCTTACAACTGCTTTGCAATGAAGATATGCTGACAACTTTTGACATGTGCATGCTGGGTACTGTGGAAACATTTTATACCAAACCAATAATTTTTCGTACTCTGGCGGAGTTTCGTTCGCAAATAGTTTCAAGTACATGAGCCACAACAATAGTTGTGAGCGGAAAAGGTATGTGTGGTAGTTTTTTCAAAAAAAAAAAACAAAATGTCATGTAAAGAAATCGCAAAGAAAGCAAATCCATGCTATAGAAGTCCTCTCTCATTCGATCGAAGATATCTGTGTAACAAGATGACGTAGGGTAATGCCCACGTCCTGGCATTTCTGTTGCCGACCACCGAGGCCAAAGATCCATCTCGCGCTGCCAACAGGTGTTCGGAGGCGCTCTCACATCGCCGTTGCCGCATATGATGAATACGGGATCACAGTAGAAAAAAAACTTCTCTTTCGGTTCCGCTATTTCCCCTAAAAGTTGCAGCATCGCCTTCCCATCGTCGATAGAGGTGCAAGTCGGTGGCAACGTAGTAGTTCCATGATATTACCGGCAGCATGTGACTGATTTCTTCAGGGCGATTAACGACTTGAGCAACGGGCTATCTTTCCTTGACGGTTGTTACAAATCACTTTACTAATTCATTTGTTAGGAGGTGTTTGCCCAAGTCTTTGTGTAGCGAATTATACTAGCAGACGCAGTTTCAGAGCAATAAATTCGGTTATTTGATTTTGAGAATCAGAATAATCAAACCAAGTTTGAGTTGTTCGCGGGGCATCGATGTATTAGACTTATCCTTGTCGGGAAATAAAAGATAAAAAGCGTGTTGAGGAATGATGTCGCGCTCTGGCCGGGCCTGTTTCGATACTCCGACCTTTCCCCGACTAGCACGGACGCGCCACCTCTGCGCCAGGCCAACGCTGCGATCCTGTGTAGAAGCTCGGCGCCACAACAGGTCACCAGCGTTCGAGCAAGGGTTCTACGTTTAACGCTAACTTCCTTCTGAAGTGGGGAAGCCAGGAACCGCTGCCGCAGATCCAAATATTGCTGCCAGCAGCGGCAGATGGCACTGAGTGCCGTGTTTCCCGCCTCCGTCACGCAGAAGGACAGTGCTGGGAACAAGAGCAGCAAGATATGGTGCATTTGCGAGCCCGCGGGGGTGATCTGTGTTTTCCTCGCCTACCTGATTCTGCTCAGCAGCGCGTACACGACCACGTTTCAGATCCTGGCCACCTACGACACCATCCCGCTCCCGATCCGGGGGTGTTTGATTCTGCTCTACCTCGCCGTGGTCGGCATGGCGATCTGGTCCCACCTCACCTGCATGCTCACCGACCCGGGCGCGGTGCCGCTAGTGGGCGACGACCCCGCGGGCGGGCAGGCGTTGGACGACTTCTGCACAAAGTCGGCCGTCGACGTCGGCTTTGACGTCGAGGCGGGCCCGATTCGCATGTGCAAAAAGTGCAAGCAGCGCAAGCCGAATCGGGCCCACCACTGCTCGGTATAATAGTAAGTTACTCACGATGCTGTTGCTGTGATTGTTAATCGAGCCTAGGTCTTCCGATCAATCTAGGCTTTTTGTTTTTAGTGTTGTCCCACGCGTAAAGATGATAAAGTCCAGAAAAAGGCACTCACTTTCGACAACGAAAACCTCCAACGCGGATAAAAAAAAATGAAAACTCAGGTTTGCAAGCGATGCATCATGAAGATGGATCACCACTGTCCCTGGGTAAACAACTGCGTGGGGCAGTATAACCAGAAGCACTTTCTTTTATTCCTGTTCTACGTATTCCTCATGAGCTGGATGTCCATCGGCTTTGTGGGACTGCGGGCCTACGACTGCTTCGGACACCACGGGGAATTTTTTGCAACCCCGTTAGCATCAAATGCGGACCTTACGGGGCCAGGCGAGCACGTCTTCTCTTCGTCCGGGGGAACAAAGCCGGATCATGGCCAGCACGACAAAGGTGGACCGCACGTCGACGACGCCAGTTCGCCTTTGTCTTTCGCCGAGCTAGACGGGTATGAAACGCACGGATCCACCAGCCTGATAGAGCCCACCAGTCTCACGGGACAGGCCGCTGATCCGAGCGCGCCGCGGAGACGGCTGTTGCCGTCGGAGGATTGGACGAGCAGCGGGGACGTGTCGCCCCTGCATCGCGCCTACCCAACCAGCAGTACGAACCGACGACGCTCGAACTCTTATCACCCGTGGACGAAGCACGAGCGGGAGCTGTGCAACCCGGACGAGTGGTCCCTGGTGGGCGGGATCCTGGTACTTTTCATGGGCGTATCAAATGTAAAAATGTCTGGGTCTGGAAGAATGCAAGTTTGTCATGCCTGTCTGGCATGACTCGAGAATCTGTGTTGCATAGGCACGAAAAGGCCCTCTTACCTGTCATGCAAAAACGCAGTTTGCCATGCGGAATCCGTAAGACATGGGAGCCAAAAAATTTGTCATGCATAGCTGCCTTTTTGAGTAGTTCTACCATTCACTTTTAGCATTACAAGTAGTTTCCAGACCCAGACATTTTTGCAATCCATAGGGCGCCACTTTCGGGTTGTTCACCTGCGCGATGAGCTGCGACCAAATCTCCGCGATAACGAGCGATCAAACCCTGATCGAGCAATTGCAGGTAAAGAGGAATTTGGGGACTTTTACACACAAGTTTGCTTCTCCAGATGCAATCCCATCGCATCCGCAAAGATAAACAGACGCTGAGTTCTTGTTGTGTAGGAGCTGCTACCACTTTCTACTAAAATGAATGTTGTTTCACATCAGGCCAAGCGCGCAGAGCGGGAGATCCGAGAGAAAGCCCGCGCGGAGCAAGAACAGCTACAGAAGCAAGCCCAAGAGTATGGCGGAACGACGGGTGCGCACCAGAGGAATTACAACCTCAACGGGGGCATCATTGACCCGACCCATCCCTCGTACATTCGCGACGGTACGGTGGTTCCCCCAAACGACAGCTCCATCTGCAGTTCCTGCTGTGGCGACAGCGGGGGCAGTTCCGTTCGGCAAAATTTTTCTCACCACGCAACGTCTTCGGGGTGGTGCGGAAGCGGGCCATGCTTCGTCTCGTGCTGTGGTACTTCGGGGCCGCCCCCGCCGACGAGCTCGGTGAAGCCCACGGGCGGCCGAAGGCTGTTCGTGCGGGCCCTCGCCGAGGTCTGCGGCAGCGGCAAGACGATCAACTGGCGGTGGTTTGTGCCCCTACCGGTCAAGTTGGCGAGTCCCAAAGGGGTGGTGTGACGAGGGTTATTCATTTTGGGAAGAAGTGCGGCAGCCTGTCTACGTGCTCCGACGCCGTTTTGGCCGTCGTTGAGCAAGAGCCCCAGGACGATTTCACCTATGTCGCAACCACAGGAAGAAGAAGATAGACCCTTTTTGTAAGGACCCCCGCGGCTCCCCCCCATCCCCAGCGAATTTCAGCGACCGCGACATCACCGCATTGTAGAAAGAGGAACGCCGAGTGGTTCGTAGAACGATAGATAGAGAAGACTTTTGCGCAAGGTGGAGAGCAGACTCCTTAAGTCTAAGAAGAACAATCTTCGCGAAAGTGCCGTCGTGTTTCTCCGTGTATTTGTAGCAGACGTGTTCGTGCGTTGACGCATTTTCGTGCATCCATCGCAGTGAAGAGCAGTTGAGGTGATGAATGCCGACTATAATACCGTGTTGCCATGAAATTGAAAAACTTTTTGAGGAGATGACCGATTGCTTTTACGAGCGGCGGCAAGAGGAGCTGAAAGAGTTGACTGCATTTATGAGGCGATCATCAAATAAGCTAATATCTGTAAAACTGAATAGAGCAATTGGCAAAGCGAAAACAGAGACGCAGGCTCTTCAATTTATCTTAGAGTATGCAAGTTGTCCCTATGTATTGCAATTGACGAGAGCAGCGCACGCTGTACAGCGAGAGGCAAAAGGATCTACAGCGGCATACAGCCTCCAGACTTTATTAACCAACTAGAGATGTTGCGCCAAAGCGTGCAACTCACAGGGATTGATGATGAATGTATGGAATTTTGTTCTTGATGCAACGTGTTGCTTCTTGCCTTCCAACTTTTGCGACTTTTGCAGATTTGAAACAGGACACTTTTCGGAATCAGTTTCCGACCCGTAGTTGTATGTAGATAGGCAGCGCTGGACTAGATTTTGATTTTTTTTTGACCTTAGCTATAGTCACAGGACAAACATTGACTTCGAACTGCGGGTGTATTCCATCACGTGGCCAATTTCTTTCTGGTTTCTATCATTTCACCGAACATAGAAGTGAGTTCTAGGCACTTCCTGCACAAAAGTGAGCACCGGACTATTTTTGGAGTTTATTCCAAGAACTCGCTTACAAACAACTACCCCGGATGAACCCTCAACTTACTGTTGTCGCCCCCGGCCAACACATCCGCTTGGATTTTTCCCCAAGCGTAGTCAATGGAAAACAATAGAGACCGCAGACCGAGGAGAATAGGCTACAGCGTAAGAAAGAAATATTAAGGTCCGCACTTGTATCAAGTGACCGGCATAAAAGTAGTTTTGGATACTGTACACAGAAAGAGAGATTCGCCAGTGCTGACACTGGATCGATATATGCGAGCGAGGGCGCAACAATAAGGCAGCGAGCAGTATGCACGGGCAGTACTACGCTCCAGTTGGCGGTGGCTACTACGCGCAGACGGGCGCTGCGCCCGCAAGTGGCTACGGCGCCGCGGGCACATTTCTCGGGACGCAAAAACCGCCAAAGAGCGGCAAGAAGAAAATGGTGCACCCACCCCCCGGGTTCTCGGCACCGCCCGGCCTGGAAGGCATGTCGGAGGAAGACTACAATACCACCGCCGGCTACTACGCGGCTGTGGCGAGTAAGTGAAAAGATTTCCATATAAATTTGATGGCTCCTTTTGGTTTTGTGCCGAGTTGAGAGTTGTAACCGCGACTGTCAATTATAATTCTGCATGGTTTTTTTCTTTGCCGTTTACATGAAAAGTTTCATACATAAGTCCTTTTCTTTGTTGCTGAACAGGTTACATGCCGTCGCACATGAGTAGCGGCTATTACGCGCCAGGGGCGAGCGCAACCGCGACCGCTGGGGGCGCCGCGCACGAGCACCACGCACGCAACGACGAATACGAGGACGCGATGGCGTTGGTCACGCAAGAGTTCAACAGCGAGGCGGATCCGGCGGCCGCCGGGTGGTTCGCGGCCGGCGCCGAGCACTACGGTACCGCCGCGCCCGGGCTGCAGGCCGCGACTGCGGGTGGTGCAGCTGCTGCCCCCCTTGCAACCGCGACTACCGCCTCGACGGCCACCTCAGGCTCAACAGCTGCGACTACGGCGGAACAAGGAGTTAAGAGCGTGACCGCGGGCAAAAAGGGACCCAGCGGCCGGAAAGGCGGCGGCCCCACGCCCCAGCGCGAAAGTGTGGACCCCGTGGCTGCTGCGAGCAAGGGTGCGTCGCCGGAAACTACGGGGGACAACGGGGCCACTACGTGGGCCAGTATCGCCGCGTCCTCCAGCAAGAAGAGCAAAAAGGCGAAGTCAAACACGGCCATGGCACAGAAATATCTGCAGGTATAGCACTTCTAAAGATTCATTCATCCCTTTGTCCGATTTTTCCCCAGAAGGCGACAAGTTTCATTTTTGGAGAAAGAATCTAAATTTATCAGTCACTGGATAAGTCGGGATCAATCTTCAGAGGCCAACATTTCATGTGCCTCGGACTGGTGTCAACGTTAATACCGCTAATATGACGAAAAACGATGTGAGTCATTCATTCTTCAATTTCCTTTTCCATCTTGTGCTTTCAGGTGAACACTGGCACGGCCGGAAAAGCGGTGCAACTGAACCTCCCCGAAAAAATGTCGTTAGAGGTGCAGGAAGCAAGTCCGGGGAGTCATGGTAATGGAGACGCCGAGGACATTAAGCCAAACGAGGACGGGAGCGACGTCGGGCAAAGAACTTCGCCGGAGGCGGGCGTGGAATCGTATCCCGCCGCTGGAGCAGCAGCTGCCGGAGCCGCTTCTGTACTATCATTTTGTGAATTTTGATATTCAACATCTGGAGGAGTTAATAGCACCGCCAACAAGGTCGGAAGAGAAGAAGCAGATATTGAAAAACAGGCGTGGTAGAATTTTACAGTGCAGCGCATCATGGTTGTACTTCCCTAAACCCTAAACCCTAAAATGTGCTTACATATATATAATATTTCAGGACCCGCAGCCAAAATCGGAGAAGGAGAGTGGCGCGCGGCGCGACGAAGTCATGGATCAGCGGGCAGAATTTCTCCGGGAGCAGGAGGAAAGGCGAGAGCATATTGTGAGGAAAAATGTCCCCTCCCCATATTGAAAGCGCATCCATCTGCGGATTTGTGATGCAGAATTGTGACGGTGGACAAAAAGCCAGAAAACAACGGCTACACTGGCATACCCGCCGCCATCCTGCTAAGGCCGTCCGAAGAGGACGGGAGGCGGTTCATGCGGGCGATCGCTTCGACTTTGTGGAAGTGCCGCCACGGCTTGGACTTGTGGCTGGCAATAATCTCCCCCGCGTTGTGCGGGGAGTCGGCGCCGGCCCCGCAGAAGCTGTTCTGCTTTGTTGGGCTTGGCGGTGCCGGAAAAAGCACGATGATCAGCGACCTGCTGCGAACCTGTTTCGGGTCGGGTTTCGCGCCGTGCAGCAGCGACCTGCTCCAGACGCCCGAAGAGTTCCGGAAGGCCGGCCACCGGCTCATCGGGAAGGTCATCGCCGCCGAGCAGGCTCTGGCTGTGTGTCCGCCGCGTTATGGGGGCAATTGGGCACGCTGTAAGGCCTACAGGGCAGCCGTCTACCATGCTGGGCGCCTACGTCAAAGGCTCCGGCCTAGGCTCGCCATTTGCGTGCAGTGCTCTACTGCAGCACGTACTTGGTTGGTTTGCCCAGGCAGAGCATCGCGGGCGTTGTTTTCGATATGGGGAGGGGGGGCGTTCCCTCTTGATAGAGCACCCGGACGACCTGCACAAGCAGCAGAAGGAACGGGAAAAGGCCCTTCGGCAGAAGCAGCGGGAAGCCGCCGAACGCTTTCGGTATCTATTAACTGGCTTGAACCATGATCGTGACTGGGAAGATCAAAAACGACTTTTAATCCTCATGACAAAAGCAGTTACTGGATAAGAACTGTTTCGTAGTTCAAACCTCCAATAAAATTTGTACCCTGGTGGCTTCATCGCGTTGGATTGCTGGAAACGAAAATGCATGCGCAACATCCATACACTAAACAGAAAAGAGGCTGCGGAAAAGCGTCGTGCCGCGGACGAGGAGCGCGCAGAGATTCGACGGAAAAAGCGGGAAGAGCAGGAGCGCAAGAAGCCGACACTGATCGAGGCAATGCAGCAAGGGCCCGCACCGCACGCAGACCCCAACGCGAAGAAGCCTGGTGTGCTATTCCAACAGCCAGCAGCGCCGCCAGGTACTGTGTTATAGGAGAAAAACTATTCCTGTATGACTTCCGAGTACCGGAGCCCTTAATCGTGGTCTAAGTATCATGTAAGACAGTACATCTAAATGAAGAGACTCTACTCAGCATGAACTTTTTCAATATGCACAAGAAACACCAGCAGCATTCCGAATTTATTTCACTTTTTCAGGCGCGCACGTGAACCAAAGCTCCGCTGCCCCGGGCTTTAAAGGCTACCAGTCCCCCAACCGCGCGCAGATGTGGTACGGGCAGTGGGCGAGTCCGGAAAATGCCTACCTGTACGATGCAGCAGCAGCAGCCGCGGCGCAGCTCGACCACGCTGCTGTGTATTGTTCATAGTAGTTTTTCTTTTTGCAATTTAAGTAGTCCACTTGTTCCCAATGCATTTGTATTCTTTTTTCCCCGTCGATCGATAGAGGACTGCGCCAATTTCCAAAACCCCAAATGAAAAATAGTGTCGTCGATGCGTCTGACGCGGAGCACGTGGTGGAGAGCCTCACCGGGGACGGAACCGGTGCCGTCGATGACGACGGTGTGGAGGTTTCCTGCATTTTGCGCGCCGAGGTACCGCTGGCGGTCCTGTACAAAGGCGGCCCGTTCGAACACAAAGACGAGTTCGAGTCGGTTACCTTCACCATTTATGGATTGCAAATATGTCGGTCTGGAAGAAGACAAAGTTGTGATGCGCATTTCAGAACACAGAAAAATCTGTCGTGCATAGGTAGCAAAAGCTGCCCACTTTCTGTCACCAAAATGAGGGACTTCTCATGCGGATTCGGCATTGCGGAAGCTTCTCGAAACCTGTGATGCTAGAGCTTCCATGCCAGACCTTCTGCGTCATGCAAAAACAGCATGAGTCTTCCAGACCCAGACATTTTTTCATTTGATACCATTCCGCCGCTGACGAAACCCGGGACAAAGTTGACCGAAAATTCGCAAACGCTGGTCGTGTGTCTCGCGGACGAGGAGAAGGAAATGCTGGACGGGGAGGACTTGAAACTAGAAAACGTGCCCATCGACTTCTACACGGCGCTGCTGGGAGGTACAGATAGAAGAAAGCTGTTTGATTCTGTACAGCTGAAACGAAGATTTTTCATTGGAAAAGAATTCAATGTACTTAAGCGTGTTTGCCGTATTTCTACTTACAACACTGAAGAACGGGAAATAAAGTCAAGTCTCTATCCTTCACTGTAAAAAGGCACCTGCAAGGCGAATGTTTTCGGGGAAGAGGTAGAGCTGGCAGTACCCCGGATGGTACGTGACGGCGACATTCGAGTGTACCCCGGTCTGGGTTGGGGCAAGGAAGGCCGGCTCACCATCACTTTCCAAGTATTTTAGACTTGTTGTTTTCACATCTCCTTTTGATGCATGGTTAGATTCTTTCGAACAAGATTGTTTTTTCAATTCTGGCTGCCACATAGAAGATAAGTAACTTCCCCTGCTCCATTTCAGGTGAGCGAGCCGGAGAATTGGTCGGAAGTGCAGAAGAAATTTTGCGCCGCAATTGACCACGACCCAGAGCCTAAGTCCACCGCGGTCATGCCAGAAAAGTGACGAGGCACTACGGGCACAGAAAATTATCGGGTGGACGCACGCTAAAATTATCTTAATCTACTCCATCACAAGTTGCTCGCACGGCGCTGCCATCGTCACGTAAGAACCTGAGTGTGATCGATGTCAAAGACCCTTCGCTAGTTACACTGATCCATCGAAAACTAGGAGGGGTGCAGCTGCGCTGGAGACGGTCGTCCGTCAACGTGCTCTGCCAGCAACTACAACAGGCGATTTATTGTTTGGCGCAAGGAGTAGATTCAGGTTATCAGGAGCACCTCTGAAGATATTTGTGTGTGAAGAATGAAAAAAAATGTCACCGGAGCGAGCGGAATCGGGGCCCCATGATTGTGATGGCGACCTGAGAAGCGGATCAGTGGTCGTTCTGTGATCTAGGGCTACAGTCATTGAAAAAAGTTAGCTAAAAAGGACTCCACTGCGGTTCTCAGATTTCTCGAAAAGCATAGATGAAGTTGAAGAAGGTATAGCACTTTGTTTTCACGATCGCGAAAAGAAAAAGCAAACCGTCACGGTTTACCGTTTGAATAAACGTACTGATCTCTACTTCAGAACACTTAGAGTTGCGTGTTGCCGGTTCGTCCTAGGCATAGTTTTCGATTGATCGAACGCTAGCACAATCCTAACGAACTACCGCGTGACTAATGTTGTTAGTACTTCTTCTACCGTGCTTTATTTACACCTATCGCACGATGTCACAGTAAAGTCAAGGAGCATGTTGCTCCGTTTCAGCTATTGATTGTCGACGAGGAAAAGAAAGTAGTCGATAGCTTACTCGGAGCAGCACTCTTCTGCTATATCACAGCAACACCTGTCAGTCACTGCCTAAAAGTAAAAATGTACGACTTTGAAGTTCTTTCGCTTCATGCAATGCTGAGAAAAAAAAACTGCTTTGGCGAAGCAGTACTTTTTCGTGTAACTCTACTAGGTTTATTTGAAAATATCGGCATGGGCGGCTGCACGCAGCACCTCGTGCTCTCAGCCTTGATGTCGCAGAGCGGATGCCCAAGAAAAAATAGACGACCATCTCCATCTTCCTTCTACTACGAGGCAAAGCTCTACTACGATGCCAATTATATATAGATACAACTATTGAGTTTCGACGTGTATCGGGCTCTATCCTACGTGGATTCTTAGGATAAAGCTCGTGACTCAGATACTCCGAGAAGGCCGAAGAACCCGCACGGGGGGCCGGAAATATTGAGATATTTCGCTATGTCTTATCAGCTATTCCCATTTTTCTTTACTTTTAAAAGAAAGCGATGGCTATGCAAGAAAATCCTGGGATTTTCTTGTTGAGCTGTCGTGCGCAAGCGAAGTCCGCAGCGACTCTCGCAACATCTACCAATTATCATTCTTACAACCAGCAAAACTTAAACTTTTCAATACTACTCTTCTCATTCTCATTATATATAACACTCAGAGCAGTGCCTTTTAGTATTCATCTCTACCAGCATCCAGGGATCATCTAGACATCCTTAAAGATGAGCGACGACTTGAAGTTTAATTACTGAAACGCGAGAAGGTTCCGATGTCGAAAAATGCCACTACTTGATGAGGTTCAGCATGTCGCGCCTCACGGAGAGGTGGATACAGTAGATACAATAAGAATATGTTGACCCAACTACACGAATTATTGCAGATCCTACTTGCTTCGAAGATGTCTTGTACTCTCCCTGCCAGCGATGACAATAAACACAGCTTAATCTTCACGAGATCTATTACAAGCGGTACGAAGCAAAAAAAAGAGCATGATGTGCTGTTGAGCTTTGCACTTTTTTCCATAAAGTTCGAGGAGTTCGACTTCTGCGTGCCTTTTTTTTGGTGAGTTTTTTTGCGCGTTGGCTTTTTCCCGTAAAGGCGTTGTAATACGGAGCGCGTTCTGAGATTCGGTCGAGTGTCGGTCCTGTAGTGTTTTCGGACACATGCGGTTAGGATCTGTCACTGTCCCGTGTTTTTTCTTGACAAAAGTGAGCGAGTTTTTTCTTTTGTCTTTGCGATGAATTGAAGCGAAGACTTGCTGTCAAAAATTGATATTAAATTATCCTCTGTGTTGGTCGTCAATCGGTTTGGTTTTTTTCTGGACGAAAGCTTACTTTAGCCGCACAAAAGGAACCTGTTTTTCTTCAGCTTGATCTGCGCGATAATTCGTTTGTAGCAGGTGAGGTTTTTTTTTCGTGATGGGAATTTGAAGGAAAAATGGCGGCCAGGAGCGGTAATCAACTGCCAGCGATTACTGTTTTCAAAGTTTTGGAAAACTAACACAACGTACAACCCGCTAATTTTCATCTCAAAACGAAACTGAATTTTCCTGTAAAGAAAAAAGAAAAAAACTCGTAGGATACTGTGGACGAAAAAGCAACTCAACCATCAAATACAGAACACAATCCGCAGAAACATTTTCAACAGTTTGCAAAAAACAAAAAGAAACTCTTCGAAATCACAGTCGAAGCATAGACGATTTGACGGATAACATATAGTAGAGTATCAAACATAGAAAACAAAGCATAAGTCAACGCAACGAAAAAAATCACTGCCACATTGCAAGCAACCTTGAGTAAAGTAGTAAGTCAATATACAACTTTTTGATTCCTCTACTAGGTGAATTCTCGGAAGGAAGGAGGAGAAGCGCATCCCGGAAAGGAGTTGCAGGTCGTGCACGACCTCCTCCCGTGCGGCAACTTTTCCTGCAGGGTCAAGCTAGTCTGTATAGCTGAAATATCGGAAGAAGTAGAACTCGTTTGAATAAAAGTCTATCTCGGTGTACACTATCTTCATTGACAAGGGTTTTTTACAGCAACAGCAGCAGAAAAGAAGGTCGTTTACTTCCCAGTTTTCGGCGAAGCCGCTTTGCGGTTTTTGCTGACGCCTTTTTGCTCTACTTTTTGTCCGGGACGAGAAAGGTATAAACCGGACAAATCAATGACGAGGAAAAAACAAACATCCTCTCCGCTTTTGTGGCCCCACATGCCACTGGTCGCTTTCTTCGCGGCGGCGTTGCTGCCGCTCTGGACCACCACCAATGCTGCAAACGCATACCCGACCACCACCAGCACTATCAACCTGCGCGTCACCGAGGAGCCTCACGCGCTCCAGCACGAGGAGCACGGGGCGAGCAGTGTGAACGGATTTCACTTGACCAACCTGTTTCGGATCGGCACCGATTTGGAAAATGACAACCAACCGGCGGTGATCGAGCACCGTTTGCCGCAGCAGGAGGTCGAGAAGCGCCGGAACCTCCAAACGGTTTCCTTCGCCGACGAGCGGGCCAAGGTGCGGACGTTTGCCCATATGAACCGCGTCATCTACCCGCCCACGGACTACACCCAGTACCTGGACAAGCTGGGGGAAGTGTACGAAGCCGGCGTCAACCTGTACGGCACCGGGCAGACCGCCGCAGACCGGGCGGCGTCAGAGACGACGGTGACCGCCGCGTGGCACGCGGCCATGAGCACCAAGGTGGCGCAGGACAGCTGGGAAAGCAAGTTCAACCCGACGAACGGCGAGCCGACGGGGCTGGGGGTCGCCGCCGCGGTCTACCAGTCCGCAACGGAGGCCGTCATCGTCTTCCGCGGCAGCCACACCGGTGCCGACTTCAACAACATGTTTCTCTGGTTCGAGGGCTGGTTCAGCGACCGGCTGCAGGCGCAGATGATGCAAAACTGGCAGGACGCCACGCAGCAGGCGCTGACGAACGAGATGTTGGAGCGGGCGAAACTGCCGGATCTGAAGGAAAAAGCCGCCTTCTACGCGGCGACGCAGGGGTTGTTGGTCAAGCAGGACGTGGATTGGATGCAGCTGGGCTTGGCGAACACCTTTTCCGTGATCAACGAAGGCTACTGGCCGCTGACAAAGCAGCTCGTGGAAACGATTTTGCCCACGGTCGCCGGCAAGACGCTTTACATCACAGGTACAACTTGATATTACTGCGAAATCAAATTGTTCATCGGTTCTTTCCTAACAGCATTGCAAGTGCATGTATCTTGTCGGAAAAGGGATCTGCTACGTGGTCGTTCTTCCCTGCACTCACAAATCCACAATTGCTGCGTACTGATATCTTTGAAAAAACATAAAATAAGTACTTTCTCTACAAAAACCACAGGTCACTCGCAGGGCGGCGGTCGGGCGTCTCTGGTCTCGATGTGGTTGGAAAAGACCAAAGCCATGACGGTTCCTACGTACACCTTCGACGGTGTGGGCGTGCAGTGCGCGGTGCGGTACGCGCTCCCCGCCGCGTATTCGGCGGACGTCGACGTGACCGTGTTGCACGGGCAGATCACGCAGTACGTGCACGCGTTGGACGCGTACGGACAGATGGACTACCAGGCGGGGAAAGTCTGCAAGTTCGGCACGACGGAACTGCGCGACGCGAAAGCCTATTCGCCCGCCAAGGACTTCTGCGAACGCTCGGTCGGGTGGAGCGGCGCGCGATTGCTGGTGCCGGTGTTCGAGGAGCAGGACCGGAACTTCGCGATGTGCCGCTACTTCACGCACTGGTCGACCGCCGTCACGCACTACTTGGACCAGGATGCCATCCTGAACGCCGACGGGACCACGGACGGCGGCTGCGCGAACGAGGTGCTTGTGCCGGCCAACGATCCGCAGCAGCTTTGCGCGCCCTGCCGGACCGCGCGGTGCGTTAACAAGCTGCCGGAACTGGCGCTGAACTGGCGGAACAAGCTGACCGACACGAACACGAACTTTCCGTTGTCGCACCCCTGTCTGGCCGACAACACCGCGAGCGTCCCGATGCTGATGCAGACCGTGACGCTCTCGGGGGCGCTGACGCAGAACAACCTGTTTCAGCACTGCACCTTCCTGGGTGGCTCCGAGGACTACTTGCTGACGGGGGCGAGCGGGAGCGGTTCCGAAAAGGCGTTCAACGCGGTGTTCCGGGTCAACACGCTTTCCCTGGACGCCAGCTTCCAGGCGGCGTTTTTGATGAAGGACTTGTCCACGCCGCAACAGCTCAAGCAGCACGTGGTGGTTACCTACACAACCTCGCCCACCTCGAATTCGGTGGCGGTCGTCGACGCGGAGCTGGTCGCGGACACGAAGAAGTGCGGTTTGGTGAACAACGTCGTTCAGGTGTGCGTGTTCGCGGTGTTGGAAAACACCAACGTTCTCACCGTCTACGCGGGTTTCGGCCGCAAGAACGCGGACACGCAGTTGATGCACGTGAAAATGAGCACGAATTCGGTGGCCAACGGCTTGCAGGTGTCCACGGTGCCAGATTTGGTTTTGCCCGGAACCTCCAGCGGTGCGGGCACTGTGCTCGCGAAGCTGAACCAGATCCAGACCGTCGCGACGGAATTTCAGCCGATGCTGTTGAACGACTACAAGTTGATTCCGGACACGCACTTCTGTCTGTCCGGCGTCCCAGTGAACGAAAAGGCCGCCCTGCAGAAGCCGCTGACCGTGGTCGCGAAGAACCAGGAGCAGTGCGTGATCGTGGGTGGCGGGTCCGGCGCGAAAATTTCTGTCGTGGACGCCACGCCCACCAACAACCCGCCGACGGCCGCGCAGAGCGTCGCCTGTCTCGACCAGGTGAAGGCCCGGATCCAAGCCGCGGGCGCGACGCAACTGGACGTGAATCTGTTGAACAGCATGATGCTGGAGATGAAGTTGCTGAACGTCCCCTCTTTGCAGCCTGCGGTGACTGCGATGCAGAATTTGGACATTACGCAGTGGCTGGACCAGGTGAAAACTTGCGCGGCCTCGAACCCGATTCTGTCCGAGTTCGTGTGCGAGGCGCTGGACAACCCGGCGTTGCAGCCGAACGTCGGGACCGACGAGGCGGTCACGAACAAGCACATCAAGGACGCGGTGCACTACTCGATCCTGCTCGACGGCTTCACCAAGGCGATCTCCGCGGACGCTATTACAATGAAAAATGCCCCCACCCCCAGCTTGGCAGCATTTGTATTGCAAACCTTTCCAACAGAAACATTCCCCGTCTTGCATATCTCAGCATCACAAATTTTCCATGCTGAACAGGTCAAATTTGTGTTGCGAAGTAGCCCAACAGCAGCCGGATCTGTTATGCACAAGGCACCTTGCGCACCCAGATTCTGCATCAGAAACGCTCGCAATCCTTTTATGCAAGACAAAAAGCTTTCATTTGGAAACTTGGCATGACAAACTTCTGCAAATTCCGGGGTCGGGGCATTTTTCAATGTAATAGACGCGAACGGCGGTTCTGGGATTTTGACCGACGTGTTCAACGCGGTCACCAACAACCGGCCGGCGAACTGGAAGTCGTACTTCAACGCGTTCGAAATCGCGAAGACGCTGACTATGGAGCAGGTGGTGCTCGCCTACATGCCGTCCACGACCTGGGGCGTGGACGACGCCAGTAAGAAGTGCTGTCAGACGGACGTGTCTCAGGTCGCGCTCCGCGTGAACATCCTCGAGGCGGTTCTGGAGGACATTCGCCTCGGGTTCCCGGAGAACGCGGACGCGGGCCGGGCCATGACCGTGGTGCCCTCGAAGAAGATCTCCACCAGCAAGGCGCACAAGGACTTGTACGAAACTTGGAACCTGGCGTTCGTCTCCCACTACGCCGAGTCGCCCTACTTCTACGCGAAGTTGCTCGCGCCGGCGGTCACCTGCGCGCTGCCGGAGGAGTACCTGTTTCACCGGTCCATGGCGCTTTTCCTGCACATCTACGGGGTTTTGTACTCCCGCGTGGCCCGCCAGGCGGGTACCACACCGGTGTACGCGACGACCGACTGGAACAACGCAGCGCTGACGCAGCGCTGGGGCGAAGTCAACAAGGCCACCGCGGATCCCTGGCTGCTGTCCGAGTCCTTGGGGGTCACGTTTCAGGAAGCAGGTACTAAGTAAGGGTTAGTTTGAATAAGCAAAGTGTCATACCATTCAGATTTCTACCTGAGTGTACGTACGGAAACTGTAACTTGGAGGCCCGGATATGAAATTTTTTTTTGCTTCGTAAATCACAGAGGGCATGATTTTCTGAAATATGAAAAATCCGCAGGTAAGGGTCTCCGCGTGGACGTCGTGATCGACGTGGGCGCTGGTAAGATTCTGACCGGCACCGTGGTTGGATCCCTCGCGAACGGGGTCTCCGGTCTTGAGTTGCAAGTCACGCCCGATTTCGGCAAAACCACTCCCGCCGCGTTAGCCCTGAACACCGACGCACCCAGCTGCACTGATTTGGGCCTTGCCGGCCTGCAGTTCTGCGCGCAGAAGAAGCTGGTCGCCGGCGCGGCCGCCGGCCGCCAGCTCCAGTCCGGCGGCAAGACGCAGGTGGTCACGACGGTGAAGACGGCCATGGGCAGCTTGCAGTCCCCGGAAATGCAGGTGTTCGAACTGGAAACGCCGCACCCGTGCCTGCTGCGCGCGTGGCAGTCCGAGGCGGACAACTTCTCCGTGAAGCAGATTGTCGACAGCGCGACGGCGGCGAAATCCTGCACGGTCTTGAGCGAGAACGCGTTTCTCTCCGTGGACTCCACCTGCACGAGCGCGACGGAGTGCAGCATCAACGCCAAGGTGGACATTTTCGGCGCCGTGACCGCGGCCAACCGGCAGCTGCTGACGTCGGAGGTGCTGCACGATTTGCAGGAACAGTCCCTGCAGCTGAAGTTCACGAAGCACAACGACGACTCCGATGTCCGGGTGCAGTTCGAGCTGAACGGCTACCGCATGTTCGACGTCGATCTGACCGAGGAAAGCGAGCAGTGCCTCGGTGCGTCCGAGTTCACGGTGTGTGTCGAGCGGAGCACCACCGCGATCGCGTTACCCGAGGGTTGGTCCGTGTCCGCCGCGAATGGAGGAGGAACTCCCCGGCGGAAGTTGCAGCTCCAGGCGACGGAATCGGTGCTCGGGTTGACGGTTTCGACGACGTTGGCCGGGGGTGCGAAGAAGGTCTTTCCGCTCGCGGCGTTGGACAGCAACTCCAAAGCGATGCACGTCGCCAAGGGCTTGTGGGTCGGGTTCAACGACAACGAGGGCTTCGACGCCACACGGAAAGCCGATCCGCACGACGAGTGCCGCCACATCACCTGTCCGGCCGGGGAGCAATGTTTCAAGGGCGCTGCTGGGCAGAACCCCTGCTTCCCGTCGCTGTTCACGACCGCCAACGGCGACTCCCGGTCCTTGATGCAGCAGCTCGTGCGCCTCGCCGGCAGCTCCTACGCCACGGACGTGCGGGTCGACGACGCCTGGACGGTGACGGACCTGTACGCGGAGGATGGTTGGCAGGTGCAGAATCGCTTCTGCCTCACGCACGACGCGGAGTTCCCGGCCGGGAACGTTTTGCAGTTGAAGCAGCGCAAGGACTGCGCCGTGGTCTCGAAGAAAAACGACCTGTGTGCGATCTCCTTCCAGGGCAGCGACGACGACCTGGAGCCGATCGAGCCGGCCTTCAAATTGGGCACTATCATGATCAACGGGTACGAGGTGTGGCGGGGCTGCGCCCGCGAGTACAAGCGGTTCAAGGAGCACCCGGACTTCGCGAACTGGATGACGCTGGCCCAGGATTCCGCCCAGTGCAACCAGGTGTACATCACCGGTCACTCGTTAGGCGCTGCCGTCGCGGTCCTGCACCGCTTGGACATCGAGTTTGGCCGACTGGTCACCTTCGCGGCACCGCCGGTGTTCGCGCCGTATTCCTACCCGCAGTACTGCTTTGGCGACTCCTTCCACATGCAGCAGGACATCGTGAAAGCCTTCCCCCTCGGGTTCCGATTGGGCGGCGTACGGGAGCACAGCATGTGCACCGCGCCCACCGGCGTGATGCACAGTAAGGGCTGCAACGGCTTTGAGTTGGGGGAGGTGAACTTCTGCGACATTTTCGACCACCACGTGCTGTCCAAATACCGTACCTTCGTCGACACCTACGCGTCCACGGGTTTGACCCCCGCCGCGGGCCAGTGCGCGACCACGACCGCCGGCGAGTGGATCGACAAGTGCGTGACGGACAAGTGCGCAGCGCACGACCCGCAGTGCGCCATGGGCGCGGAGGTGCTGCGCTCGAGCTTGGCGTACGAGTCCATGCGCGCGACCGCGATCACGCAGCTGCGGCCCGGCCAGCCGCCGGCGCTGGCGCCCCCCGCTTCACTCACGGCCAACAAATTCTCGGTGCCGGACGTGCAGGCGTTGGAACTGCAGCTGAAGAACCCGAACCTGTGCCCGGCGGTAGTCACGGGGCAGCACCCGGCGAGTTCCGTCGCCTGCGTCGCGCTGGACGACGCTTCGTTTCTCCTCGCCCACGCGTCCAAAACGTCCGCTGGAACCGCGGTGGAGGTCGAAGCTTCCTACTACGGAAACGTGGCCCCCGCGGCGACCGCGGTCACCGCCACCGCGACGCTGGTGTTGCACGTGGCCGTGCTGCTGCCGGAGGAGAACGCCGTGTTTGTGCAGGTGTACGCGAAGAACGCGCCGGCCCTGCGGTTGGAGTACAAACTGACGCCCCAGAAGCTGCTGTGCCGGGGGTTGGACGCGAGCACGAAGGTGTGTCTCGTGTACGAACTGAAAGACCCGAACACGAACGTCTACTCCGTCGACTTCTACGCGTTCGTGAAGCCGGGCGACAGCGCCTACAAGGTGCACGTGGCGGAAATCGACGCGGGGACGGGTTTGCTTACCGCCGTGAGCCAGGTTGCGATCGCGAAGGAGTTCGGCAACCTGGAGCAGAAGTTCCTCGACCGCGGCTACGCCGAGATGGAGCAGTCTCTGTCCCTGACCAAGTCCACGGAGCAGTCTTACTGCGCGAAAATCGTGCCGGCGGCCTTCTGCAACTACGAGGCCGGCGAGCGGACCTGCGACGCCTTCCGCAACGCCAAGTGTCTGCGCGGCGGGCTGTGCGGGTGCGCGGCGAACATGTGCGCCAACGACCAGGGTGTGTGCGTGCCGGACACGGCGGCGGACGCGAAGAGAACGGTCGGCCACCCCTGCATCGAGAAGGACCAGGACTTCGAGCTGTTTCAGCTGGGCCAGGACCCCTCGTACGGTGCGCCCTACGAGCGCTGCGCGATCCTGGGCGAGAAGTCCTTCGTGCGTGTGCAGTACCCGGATGAAACCGAGGTTATGCAGGCGCCGACGGACGTGTCGGTGTCGGCGTTGGTGAAGGTCGGGTTCTCCGTCGTGCCGCTCTCCTTCGAGCGGCAGTTGCGCACTCGCGTCCGCGTGCTCGCCACGGCGGCGGGCGCACCGAACTTAGGCGTGGATCTGGAGGAGACGGATCTGGAGTCTGGGCAAACCAGCTCGCTTTTCTCGCAAGTCCTGCCCCTCACCGACCAGACGGAGGCCTGCACGCAGGTGAACGGTGGCGGCACCGCCGCGCGGACGATCCCCATTGCGGACTTGTGTGTGCGTTCCACCGGTGCCGGAGGTCGGCTGCGTGCCCGGCAGCTGACGTCCACAGGAGCAGCTGCTTCGACCACGACGGTGGAAAACACGATCAGCGTCGGCGTTTGCGTTCCCGCCCTGTACAACACGTGCTACAACGTGCCCGTGGCGCAAATCACCTCCTCCACACCCACTGCCGCTCCAGCTTCCTCTTCGCGTCGGTTGCAGGAGGTCGTTGGCACGCAGTACAGCGTGAGCCCGGTCGTCCCCGCGGTCGACGAGCCGATGCAGGAGTCCGACCCCCCGCAGAGCGGCTCGGAGTCCAGCATGTCGCCCGCCTTAATCATGTTTATTTCCATTGTGGGCATCGCCACCTTGGTCACACTCATTTCCGCCGGATTGGCCTGGTTCCGCCCCGGCACGCCGAATCACGACAAGGGCCGCACCAGGGGAAATCGGTTGTCGACCTCCTCCATCGCGGGCGAGGATCTGAGTTCCCTCGAGTCCGTCGACCGCCCCTCCCCGGTGCTTCTCGCCCGGCTGGAGAACCCGCAGCTGTTCTCCCGGTTCACGGGGAAGAAGGACTGCGTGTGGACGTGCGCGGGCTGGATCCCGAAGGACGCAAACGTGCGGAAGCTGCTGTTGAACGCGTGGCCCATGCACGTCGCGCGCGTCTTCTTCCGATCAACGAAGGTGATTCAACTCCCGCTGTTTCCGGACGAAAAGTACTGGATATCGCGAGGAAAAATGCCCCCACCCCCAAAGTTGCAAAAATTTGTGATGCAAAGTTTCCAAATGAAAACTTTTTCATGAAAGGAGTATGAACCTTTCTGATGCAGAGTCTAGGTGTGTGTCGCATCGCTTGCATGACAAGCGCCGCTCTTGCTGGGATCTTTTGCAATACAAATTTTTGCTATTCACGATCGGAAATCTGTGATGCGAAAGATGCAAGAGGGCGAACGTTTCATTTGGAAAGGTTTGCAATACAAATGCTCTCAAGTTCGGGGGTGGGGCATTTTTGATTGTAATACTGGACGGACAAGAACCTCACCCCGACCATCCGCTCCTTCCTCGCGTTCCGGCGCTCGATCCTGATGATTTTCGTCGGTCTCGCCTTCGTCATCGTCGCCATGGGTGCGGTGCAGGAGCTGCCGCAGGTGTGCAAGACGCTGTTTTCCGGCGAGGAGGAGAGCCTGACGCACGAGGACGTGAAGTCCATGCTGGACATGTTTCGCACCGCCGGCAGCGGTTTCGGCGGCGACGGCGCGGAAGGCGACTCGCGGAGGCGGGTTTTGACGGAAGTTTCTGCTTCAAACGCAGCAGGAACAGCTCGGCGGTACCTGCAGGTCGCCTCCGCGGAGTCCGTGAGTGCGGAAACCACGCCCGCGTCGCCGAGTGCCAACGACGACTACACGGTGGAGCAGGCCTTTGAGGTGAAGCGGAGACTGTCCGTGTTCTACACGTTGATGTACATCTTCAAATTGTTCGTCGCCGCGGTCACCCTGTACGCCGCGATTCGGGCGTTGAACCACTGGCGGGACTACAAGGCGTCCGCCAAGTGGACCATTCTTGCTTTGACCGTGCGGTTGACGGTCACCGTGGTGTTGTCTTGGTTGCCCTGGTTCTACATGCTGTTCCCCGACAGCGACGAGCGCCCGGAATTTCTCAACGTCGCCGCGAGGTTGTTCATCGACGTCATGCTGAATTTGCCCGTGGCTTCCGTCGGCATGATGGTCACCCCGGGCGTGGTCGGTGGGGCGAGATTGGTCATGGAGCTGTTGCCGTTCACAATTTTCCCCTACATGATCATCTTCGTGGTCCCCTTGCTCGCGATCGTGATGCTGTGGCCGGTGCTCAGCATCATCGGACACGGGATGGGCAACTTGAAGCTGCTGTACGGATCCCTGATCTACGTCGGCTACTGCGGTATCACCTCCTGGGCTGCGTTCCGGGCGTTGGCGTCTTTGGAAGCTTTTCGTTTGCTGGGAAGAAAAGCGGTGGAGAAAACCGGTGTCACGCCAAATCGGGATGAACAAGCGGTACTGATGAAATTTGCTAAAACAGAAGTTAGAAAACTGATTAAGTAATAGAGGGGAAAGTC